TCTTAGGTTTCAGCCCTTTTAGAGGCTTCATTACACCTGCCAATTGCATGTTGTAAACACACCTTTCCTACGGGACAATTGATATAACCAGTATAATATTGTGCAAAAAACCCTAAACGATTCTCACATTCGAAAGCACATTTATTTGTGAGTGTGACATCGGCCTAGCTTTGTTGGTAGCCTTATGACATTTTTCTCGCAGTGCCCTAGCTCGAACCCAATCTCAGTAAATATTATTGCTTATTTTTTATTTTATCTCTTTCTAAGAACAGATTCCAAAACACTGAGTGCAATGGCAGGACGTATTTCCATTTAACCTTTTTGAAGTCTCATTGTAACGAATGTTATTTCTTTAAATGTGGCTCTTCGATTGGTTAGGAGTGGTTAAGCGATGTCTGACATGTTAGTAGTTCATTATAACATGTAACTGTTATCTATAATGAGAGAAAGATTGCTCTGTTTTAGCACCACTAATTTTGTTTCCTTTTTACGTTATATTACAATTCGTAACATTGTTTTATTACATAGTTACAGACTGCGAACGATTGGAATAATCTTCCTATAATCTAGTATGTAATCATCGTCAGTTGTAGTCATTTTATCCCTTCGGCCAGGGTCTCGTTGCCGTTAGATTCCGGGGTTTCCAGACGGTCACTAAACCAGAAGGCCGCGATCTCGCGAATTGCTTATTCTTTGTGACCTGGCGGACCGTATTTATGGAATTAGTCTAGCGACGCCAGTTATTTACCTGCTGTTGACGCAGTTTACTTGCAGAAATCGGCAATATATGCTTGAGTATGCAAGTGCAACTGTCACTATTTGTTTTACGTTGTATGAATTTACATCTGTGTAAATATTCGAACGCGAGAGAAAAAAGTGAAATGCTAGTGCACTTGTATATTTTGTTTTCTTTTGTCAACTAACACGTAGATAAATAAACAAGTATGTAAATATCTAGTGGTTTTTATGTTTGTTTCTAAACAGTTAAAAAATTAAAACTATATAAGGCATACGCATTTTTATATAATAAAATATATATTGGCAACAAAAGACTTTTTATTCATCCGTTGCATTCAAGGCAATATTTCATAAGTATTAAATACTTGACGTTAATTAGAAATAAATGAGCACAGACAAATTGAATATTGTACTAAAACATTTATTGAATAAATATTGCAGCTTTAATATCACAAATACTGCTTGGGACACATTTATAAAACAATGGCTTAGTCTAAAGTGTTTTCACGTTTAGAGGATTTCATAAAACATCCCATGATTTTCTTGATAAATATTTGTTTTAGAAATAAATAAATTTGATGGTAATTTAAATTTCAAAATAGGATAATACATTTGTTAACTTTATTGTTTGCTTCAATGTAATGTGCAATTATATTACATGTATCATAATTGTAAATACTCAATTTTAATATGATTTGAAAGTATACATCACATCCCGACGTTTATGCATGGAATACTCTTCTGCAGATCACATAATGACTGAATTCATATGTGTTGGAATAGCCGCGATGGCCGATCTCCCCCATATGTGTTAAATATATCGATAATGACTTATATTCAACGTCTTTATATGAACAAATGATATTGTTAATCAGCCCCTAAGGTTTTGACAGACTATGACATTCTATGAAAAATATGTAAATGTATATTTATGAATGAAACAAATATGTAGTATTACACTTATCAGTCGTCTTGCATATAATTTAGCGTGTAATTTCTAACAAATACTATAAACATTAATTGAGTAGCAGTCAGATACTACAGATTCATGCTGTTTAAGTATAAATATAGTAACATATATTTACATAAACAATACATATAACACTTCCTATTTTATAAAATAAGTGAGAAATCGCACAATAACAAATGTTAATCTTGCGCACACATTTGTGATCGTCATCCCAACCAGACAATGTACTTCTACGCAAGAACTAAAACCTTTGCCCATCTAATCAAATGTTATTTAAAGAAGTTTAAATTAAGATTAGATATTTTTTATCTGCTCTCAAGAAAATATTATGCGTAGATATCGTCTTAACTAATTACCTTGTATTGAACAGAAAACAAGAAAGACATATACGAGTATATAAAAAAATCAACATAGAAATGAGATATTAGTATTCAATACATGTACATAATTATTCAACTATTGAGTAGTTACGAAACTAATTGGTGAAAAACTGGAAGAAATGCTAATTGAAATGTTCGTAGCGAAATATCAAACTTTATAGTCCATTGATTAATGTTACGAATAAGCAATTATTCAGGGTCCGTATTAAGAATCGCTAAGTGAAAACGAAACATACTTTATGAAGTGTATTAAAAGATAAGAAGTACGTCAGAAAGACGTGCTATCTTATCTTCAACAGGTGTTTGATTTATAATATCAGTACTCGGCTCCCCTCACAAACGTTCATCAACTTAATTCAACCTTCTTAAACTTCATATTCCATGCTTAGCACATCGAAAATTCTTGTAATCACCCACAAATCAGACTTGAGATTTGGCAACACCGAAAGGAACTGAACTTTCTTTCACACTGGCTTTCACCCTACACCACCACTCGCGCACAGAACCCTTGTACGGTATGGAGTCGTTTTCGAGTTGTGGTCGCAGGCGACCGTCTATATACATCAGGTACTCGTCCGCACTTCGACATTCACTTCTTCTTCTTCTTCTTCTCCGCCCCCACGAGCACTACGCCTCTTCCATGACGATGAGGACGCGGCGAATGGGCGCCGTGGCGATCCGCTTGTCCAGGGCGGCCGCGAAGACCACGGCCGCCGCTAGAAGCAGCGCCCAGACCAGCGGCGGGAGGTAGGCGGTGGGCCAGTACATCCCTCGCTCCAGCCGCGCGTAGTACCACAGGCGGTCGTGTGTGGAACACGCCACCGGCACGGACGTCAGCTCGTTATGCTCGAAAGACACCTGCCGACGAAAAATCTATGGGTTAGGTCTCATGTTTGGCATAATTTTTTTAAATTTACATGTGTATATATGTATATGTGTATATATGTATGTGTGTATGTGTATATGTGTATATATGTATATGTGTATACATAATATATAATTTTCTACCGGCAGAATTGGCTCAGGGGGTAGCGCGATCACTTCGCATTCGGGAGACCCCGGGTTCAATCCCCGTGCCGTCCTTCCCGTCTGAGGTTTTCCTGGCTTCCTTCGGTCATCCAGGTGAATGCTGGGATGGTTCTACTGCAATGTCACGACCGCAAAACCAGCGTCGCTAGCCGAAATCATTAACTAAGTCAAGTTACGAAGGTCATGTGAATTTGAGACATTGTGGGTTCCTGCTTTTGTGACCGACTAGAAACCGGGGGGTCTAACGGCGCCGTGGCCAATTGCGGGGGCCATTTAAGGGACATATACACATACACATACAAATAAATACACACACCAAATTTATTTGCCACAAACGGTAAAAGCGTGATGTTGAGGATGAGAAATATAATGTAAGAACGTTGTCTTCAGATCCAGAATCTGTACTTTCTCTTAAAATTCGTATTCAATTAATTATAAAAAAGGTACAATGCATAGTTGGCAGCACTGTGGGTTTAGACATGTTTCCTCTCTTGCAAATAGAAAATCTATACGCATTGACAAACGAATTACAGAATTTATTTACAAAATAGCAATCCTCCCCGACCATAGTCCTCTCGCAAATAGCAAAAGTGGTTCAACAAAAATACTGGGCAAAAACTGATCGCAACATCTCAGGCAAACAGTGTCAACATTTCTTGTAAAGACATAACTTTATATTAAGTTAACAAACACGTCCATATATTTGTTGTGTAATACACTGTGCAAATATCTCTTTACGGATAAGAAAAACATCTTCCATTTCTAGAATAAACACGATGCCAATGTCACGGCGATTAAGATATCGTCTATGAACAGATATACAGAATGCGACATTTCAAATGTAAGACACTGCAGCGTGTTTCTCAAAATGTTAAAGTTCATTCTTCTACCTTTTGGCATATCTACTTATTCCTTTATCATTTGATCTCCGAAGCATACATTCCCGTTTAAATTGTTTTTTGTAATTATCCTATGTCCTCACATTCTGTGTAAGCAGAGCTTCTTTCAGTTCTAAGTTTTGAGATCTATTGCCTACTCGAGAGATGACTTGCAAACAGCAAGTGCATTGTAGGTGAAACGGCCAGCTGCATTATTAGACGCGATGTCAGGGCCTTATGTGATCGATACAGGAATGCAGTTACATTCACTCTAATTCACAAATTTGAGTTTTCTGGCATGTGTGTCTGAAAAAGTCAACGTTTTCAGAAATACTCAATTTGCATCCTCATAACTTTTTTAAGCACAACATTCTGACAGAATAGGAGGTAAATCGTCAAATAACTAGTGTGGGGAAACAAATAATTTCTCTGCAAAATGACATGAAAAACCTTTGTTCATCTGATTGGCGAGACAATATGGTGTGTTTTCCCATGAGATGACTCACACTGTATATCGTCTACATTTTAAAAAAATCTTATCGTTCGATGAGCTTTGTCCTTCGAAGAGGCTAACTAGACAGTACACAGTTGAAGAGCAAATTGTCAAATAGTAACACGTTTCTTTAGTCTTTTCCAATAATAATGAAAAATATAGTACCAATTGTACACTTTTCATTACCGTCTTTAAATCAACGAATAGAATGGTACATAATGTATTGTTAGGCATCTCACTTTTTTTCTGAAAATATAATTCTAATTAAAAACAACATAACTGCATTTCGACAAATGAACATGTCACATTTTCAATGTTTGCTCCTCAGTTATCGTCTTTGAAAACTCTGAGAATAGAACTGAATAGGAAACGAAAACTCACCTCGATACCACAATTTTGCATCAACCTCTCCGGCAGCGTTTGCAGCTGATTGGTGGACACATTGAGCCAGCGGAGGTGCGCCAGCCGTTCGAACGCGGCGTCGGGTATGCGCCGTAGCACGTTCCACGCGAGATCGAGACGCTCCACGTGCACGAGCGGGTCGAGCTCGCCCGCCTCCAGCTCAGCCACGAAGTTCCAGCTGGCGTCGAGCTCGCGCAGGGCCGCCAACCCCACGAAGGCCCCGCCGCCGCCCAGCGACAGCAGAAAGTTGTTGGAAACGTTGAGACTGATGAGATTCTTCGACGAGGCGAACGCCCCCGACGGCAAGCCGGTGAGGCGGTTGTACGACAGGTCCAACACCTCCAGCTCTGCCATCGCCTGCAGCGACTCGCCCGTGAAGTAGCTCAGCGCGTTGTGGGATAGGTTCAGCGCACGCAGGCCGACCAGAGCGGGAAACGTATCACTTGTTATCCGTTCTATTTGGTTATACGAGAGATCTAAAGTGCTCAGCATGCGTAGAGGAGTGATCAGTAGAGGTCTGGCGTTAGTTTCGTAGCACCGCTGGTATGCACTGAATCCGTCAGGTACTTCTTTGAATTCTATTTCATCGAGTTTGTTGTGGGACAAATCGAGATATTGTAGATTCACAGCATGTCCTAAAACTCCTTTAGGAAAATTTGTCAAGTTGTTTCGTGATAAATCTAGAATTTGTAGAAATTCAAGACAATAAAATGTTTCAGTCAGCAATCCACTGATGGTCGCGTTAGACAAATATAGGTATTTCAAGTTACGTAAAGAACTAAATTCGTATTTGATGTACTGCAGTGGATTTTCAGATAAATCTAACGTCTGTAGCAAATGCAAATCTTCAGTCCCATGTTGATAAAACTCCTTTATGTTATTATGGGATAGATTCAAACTACGTACATTAAATGCGTATCGGAACTCATCCTGTCCATCCAAAGAAATAAAGTTATGTGATAGGTCTATTTCTCTCACATTTGGGAACGATTCCTTTATGTCATTCCAAGGCACAGTGGTCAGGTTATTGTATGAAAAATGTAAAACTTCCAGTTCATCTAAAGAATAGAACTGAGCCTCTGAAATGCGATTCAATGACAAATTGAGTATCCGCAAACGTATATATGCGTCACCATGAGCTATAAAAGTTTCCAGTTGGTTTCCGTGCACTAGAAACACTTCAACCTTTTTTACAAATACTGCAGGAAGTCCACAGAACAATGTTCCTTCTTCAGTCACGTAACACGACATATCTCCGGAAGACAGGGCATTCCAAGAAACATCTATAACTATCGGGTTTTCATCGCAGATGTGTTCCGGTAGAAAAACGCTCTTGTTCTTAGAGGAACAGTCGAGAACGTGATCGTAGCAGAGACATCGGTCTTCAAAACTGTTCCCCTCGAGCGAAGGAGTCGCTCGCCGTGTTGTCAGCGATCCCAGTGTCCACATGAGGAGGACGACCAGGAACGCCCCGGAGATGGCGGTTGCGGGAGACATGGTGGCTGCAAAGGCTTCCTTGACGTCTGGATGTCCGCGTTGCACTCGCTGCCGGTCCTCAGTCCTCACCGCCCCTGCCTCACTCGCTCCGTCCTTCCCAGGGGCCTTCCTTCTCGGTCGGTGCACTGTCTCACAATGATGCGAAATCGGCGACTGCGGGTGGGATCTGATATCGCATTATCAGCGGTCCTGTCTTGTTATCACGTCTGCAACTCGTGTGAGTGCGAAATATAAGTGCTAAGTTTATCAGACGTAGTGTCGTCTTCATATCGATGTTTCTTAGAAATATATTTATCACTGATTTGACGGTCAGGACCTTAAACGTAAAAAACGAGTTGTTAATATTTTATCTGTTTCGTATTAGAACCAGATGGGAATAAGAAGAAAAGATAAAACGTATTCAAAGTTCACAATTAACAGTTTTTCATGTTGAATTTTCTAATCAAATCCTGTATTGTGAACGGCATCATCATGTCACACATCGAAATGCCGTGACGCCGACGACATGAGGGAGCGGGAGGGGGCACTAAGTAATGAGGCCAACTCCTAGTTAATGACTTATTTATTTATAAAACTTAACACACAGAATGATACACTTACATGATGAAGGGCCGCGGACAAGCCACTCAGGGGCGCCAGTGTGGGTGGCGATTGGCGATACGACTGGCGGCGGCGTCTATCCACGCGTCTCGTTGGCGTTGCGTCCGTCCGGAGCGCCTGGTTGCCGTCAGGAGGCCAAGCCAAGATTCACTTCGGGCGAGCCTTCCTTCCGGGTCGCGGGGAACCACGTGACAGTTCCAGTACTCCGGACCAGAGCTGCTGCATGACGGTAGGATGCCAGGGTTATTCGCTTGGTGGAGAGTCGCTGGAGACTTCCCTCGGGTGGAGCCGCGCCCGCGATTATATGGCCGCCGGTGAGATCAACGGTCAAATGTCGTCAGGGTGTGTCGCCCCGCGCTTCAGACGGGAGCTAGGGAGGGAGTAAAGGTAGGCATGCGGCGGGGTACGTCAGGCGCTCGGGGAGAATAGGCTGGGTCGACGGGTGCAAGGGCCAGCGCCACGCTATCAGCATGCGGTGGGGTGCGTCAGGCAGTCGGTGAAGAAAGGGGTGAGTCAATGGCAATATGGCCACATCGCCACACCATAGAAACAGTGCAGATGATCTTGAAACGGATGGCGGCAACAATTAAAGGATTGTGAAATTTATAGTTTGTGTCGGAGATGGATATGGCATGACTGGTATAGCAAAATGAATTGAACACCTGCGGTCACAGCATTTATTTGTGTGGTTCATGACATGTCGACGAATATGTGGAAAATGTTAATCCTGGAAAGGAACTGCAGAGGCTTCAGCCACTATGTAATATATTCTAACGCGTTTGCTGGCACACATCGAATCGTTGGCTGGCATACGCCGCGTGATGTCGTCATGTGTGTGGTCCAAGAGCTCCTATTTCTCGTGCATTATTTCTCCCTGGCTAGATTGAACATTATGGTTTAATTTGAAGGTATGAAATGTACTCTATATTACAGAACTAAACCGAACGGTTGATATTTATGCTAAGAAGTGACAAATTATTATCAAGAATGATAAAAATATCTGCAAAATATAATATCTGTGTCCTTCGGTCTTCCATCTCGCTCAGTAAATATGCGTTCTATAATACTTCATTTCGTTTGAAACTCTTAAAGGATGATATGAAAACATTTCAGGTACTGATTCCAAAACACATGTTCAAAGAAAAAAGTTAAATATCAAGCACAATTGTTTTGGAGGAAATTCCGATAGCGAAGTTGTTTAAAGCAAGAAACAATCAAATTTCTTCATGCCCTTCATGCATCACAGTCCCAAAAAATTTAGAGTAGACGCTCCATCCAGGCAAATATACATCATGGAGTGTTTCAATATCATCTTAGAGAACAATTTGCTCTCATTGGTACTTGTGAGCAATGCTTCATAACACGTCGATCGTATTTAACTGCAGTGCGTTTACCTCTTACTTATACTTTACCAGGGGAAATTCATGCAGGGGCGTGGGCCCCTTGCGCTTCCTCATCTACCCGCACCTCTGTAGGTATACCACAATGACTTCTCTTGAGCTGGTATCTGGATTCTGCCTAAACCCAGTTTTTTCTCTCGGTAACCCTCCCAGACAATGCCTGGGTCGTACCGCCCTGCCAGTTCAGAGCACCTCGCTATTCGGTTAATGCCGGGGTCCGTCTCTTACATGCGCCGCGACAAGTCCGTCCTCTATGCCAAGAGTTTTGAATTGAATTGAAGCCTTATTTTACGTGGCGAGACTCAGGCAAGAGGCCTGCTCTTCTGTCTGACCACGCAAATTTCGGTATGCTCATTTCACCAACTAGCAGAGAAAGGAGGTATTTCTTTGGCGAGAAACAGGCGATTGTCAATTTAGCTCAGAGGCGTCATTTAGGCTTGAGGAACTTTTTCATGCAAGGAAATCTACTAACATGGGACAGCCGGCTTTACTTCCCCTCCGAAGGAAGGCGTACGAAGGATTTTTTCGCCCTTAAAAATCCACGGCTTCGATCGGGTTTGAACCCGTCAACTTGGGTACAACAGTCCGATACGCTAATCGTCGCCGCGCGCATTTTGGGTCTCTGACATGACGAAGCCTAGAGCCCATCAGGGGATCACCCGAACAAAGGTTCGAGAGTATATTAGCCCCCTTCCCGCCTTCTCACTGCGTTCACCTTTGGGCTATTGATGTGAGTTTCGTCAGAACCTAGGTATCCTGGTGGGTGATATCAGGATCCTGCCGGACTTCTATCTGTGAATTCCAGAGCGTTCCGAAAAATCTCCTTCACCCGAACCTGCCCAAAGGTCGAAGCGCCAGGAGCCCGACTCGTGTGTTACCGTGCAAGCCCGGCAACCAGGAGCCTGGCATTGCCTACTCACTGCCTTCACCTTGAAGCTATCGACATGAGTGTCGCCGCGAAACTTAGGATCCGGGTGATCGTCGACAACTCTCCAGCAGAAATAGCGGTACTCTACGTACACTCTATTCCCCCTGCGAGGAACACGTCGATGTATAGAGTATGTTAATAAAGGTTTTGACATGTATTTTTGACAGAAACAAATACCCAATAAAACGTAAGTTGCAATATTCTCGTTGGTATCTTCTCGACACCATACAAAAAATATTTTGCAAAAGTATATCACTATAATAATAGCGTCTAAAATATTATAATAATATTATTAATAATAATAATAATAATAATAATAATAATAATAATAATAACGCCCATCTTATGGTCGAATTCACTAAAGCTGTAGTGCAGTGGCGGTCACAGACCACATGATCGGGGGTCGAGTCCCACCTTTGACGTGGTTGTGTTGTGTGTGTCTCTGTACGTTCAGGTGTGTCTAATCTTTCATCATCATTTTAATTCCATTCCTTTCCCCAGGGCTAGAAACCCTGGACAATAAAAATGGAATCAGCGTGAAAGTGCTGATTCCCCCCAGTAAAAAGTAACGTGCTTCTACCCCGATAATCGAGCCTGAGGCCTGGTGGGATGCACGTATCGCGTGACCGCATGAAGGCCAATTCGCGAGACATTATTATTACCATTATTATTATTATTATTATTATTATTATTATTATTATTATTATTATCATTATCATTATAATATGTAAATGGTAGGAAAAGTATGTGAAGGTGAAAGATAAAGCTTCTTCTAATTCACCTGTCACAAGACAGCATCTTGCGCCAATCTCGAAGTTGGAGGACAGACCGTGAAGCGCTTATCGCCCCAGCACTCGCGGACAATCGGTTCATTTTCTCTTCACGTCTAGCGAAGACAGTAAGAAATATTTCCCATTCCTCCTTTTCTCTCCTCCCCCTACGTCCTCCTCCACATCCTTTCCCGCAGCTTCCACACATTTCCTGCAACTACATTTCCGACGGGCGCGCTCTCAAGTTAGTATCAGCTCGCGGGCGAGCGGAGCGGAGCGGGGAGGGGTGGGGCAGAGCGGAAGTTGAGGGGTGTCTTCTCAATGCGGTCCCCGCGCCTCCCCCCTCCCCCGCTGCTAGTGCCACTTCCACGCTCCCTGTGC